AATAAAAGGAGCCTCGTGGCACAGTGGTTAAACCGCTGTACTGCAGCTACAACTGTACTCACGACCTGGGGTTCAATCCCAGGTAGCGGCTCAAGGTTGACTCAGCCTTTTATCCTTCTGAGGTCAGTAAAATGAGTACCCAGCTTGCTGGGGGAGGGGGCAATGTGTAGCCTGTATAATTAACTTGCAAACCACCCAGAGAGTGCTTGAAGTGCTATGGGGCAGTATATAAGCAGCACGCTTTTTTTTTTTAAATATAGGAGTAATACAAGATTTGAATGGAAAAAGATGTAATAAAATGAAGGACAAATTGGAAGCATTTCAAACATATTATAAAACTTTATATACTAGTAAAAATGCAGGGAAATAACTGGATTTAAATATTCAACTGTCCCCGTCAGTGGCTTTATTGAATTTGGTTAAGAAGGATCAATTGTTGAAAGAAAACAAGGACTTAATAGTAATAATGATTACAGCAGCAAGGTTAATTTTTGCAAGAAACTGGAAAAATGATAACCAACTCAATTTAGAGGAATGGTATAGAGAACTATGGGATATGGCAATTAATGATAAACTGACATGTGATATGAAAATAAGAAGAGGCCTATCAAAAATAATGATTTTAAGAAAACATGGAGTGTATTATTGGAATATGTATTTCAGAGAGGGAAGAAACAATGAAATTTTGGAGAGAAAATGGACTGAATGAAATTTAAAATATTATTAATGTTAGCCCTGAGGGTGATGGTGGCACTGGTGTATTATGTAAGTGTATTTTATTGTGGTGTTAGGTTTATGCTGTTTAGATCGGATGCTTGTTTAATAAATTTATTTTTAAAAAAGTAAATAAAAGAAATGGCTATATCAAATGTGGCAACCATAGCTGGGGAGGGTGGGGAGAGCGGTCTAAGAGGATGACCTAGATCCGGATTCCCTGCTAGCCTTGGATAAGTTACAGGAAGCCTGACTTTGGTTGAATAGCAGGAAATACATCTTAACTGCTAGAGCAGTATGACAATGGAACCAATGACCTCCAGAGATGGCGAATGCTCCAATGTTGGAGGCCTTCAACAAAAAAAATGGACAGCCCTTTGTCAGGTCTGCTTTGATTTGGATTACTGCACTTAGCAGAGGGTTGGAGTTATGGCCTTATAGGCCCCTTCCAACTCCATTATTCTATGATTCCTGAAATATTTTATGTTGTGCCTCTCTGGAGCTCTGTGTACATGTAGGTGCTTCCAGGGAATACAAGAAACCCATTGATCTCATCTGTATTGGCTACCAGTCCTGAGAACCTCCACCATGAGAGACATTCCCAGTCACTGGGAGCTACGAGTGGGGAGGAGGGGAAAAGAGCCAGTGCGTTCAGGCGTCTTTCTGAGCTTCCAAAAGGTATCTGACTGGCCACTGTGGGACAGCATGTTAGCCCGGACTAGCCTTCAGTCTCACCCAAGCACAGTTTCTCTTAATAGGCATGAGTGTGTTCTGGCATACTGACGTCCTCCTGAAGTAGAAGACTACATACACATCTATCTTCACTCCCTTGCAAGATGGATTTCTGTGAACCAGTCTCAGCATTCTCTTTCCATGGCACAAATATTGTCTGTGCTGTTTTTATGGCCCAACACCAGATGGGCTTTCATACCAAGGAGATGGCCCTCATGGGGCAATATTTTCACAAACAGAAATAAGGCACTCTTCCTGAAAATAAAGATATAAAATCCCGGCCCTGCTCATGTCCGCAAGAGTTTAATACACTCCTCCTGCCTGGTGCCGTGATTAGACTCTCTAGACTGGTTTCAAATCCCGATCTAGTTATATCGCTCGCCAGATACCTTTGGGCCAGTCACATTCTCTCAGTTTACCTCACATAGTTGTTGTGAGGGTTGTCCTTGGAAGGGCAGAGCAGATCCTTTGCCTCCTTGAGGGAAAGATGAGACATAAAGGCTTGCACACCGTTAAGGGTGTGTTCTACTGTGGGCAACAGCGAGGCATGCGTTGGGGGTTGTTTTCTGAGGTTTCACTCAGAACCATTCTTGGTTGTCTCTTTCTTTAAAACTGAACGTTTCAAGGTGTACCGGGCAAGTGTGACTCAGTGGATTCAGGTCCAGGATTCAATTCTTGCTCTCCCCACTTGTGTGGGGTTTCTTCTTTCAACAATAGGACTAAACACTAGGAGAGAGAAAAGAAGGGGAATCAAGAATTAGCTAGGGGGGGGAAGGCCTGCCGAAACATCAGTGTTTTTAGTTGCCTTTTGAAAATACCCAGCGAGGGGGCCGCGCGAATATCAGGAGGTAAGTTGTTCCAGAGGCGAGGAGCCACCGCCGAGAAGGCCCGATTTCTTGCCTTTTCCTTCCGGGCCTCCCTCGGCGTTAGGCTCCTCAGCCTCACCTCCTGTAAAGTGGGAACAAAAGTGACCGGCATTATAAGATGTTTGTTATGAAATGTTTTTGATAGCTTGGGGTGGCTTGGGGGACAGCTTGCAGACCTAGGAGGTGGTTCTTGCTGGTGTGCACATGAGTGAGGATCCCATTCAAGTGCATGCGACTGCAAAAGGAGCATTCGTTACAAATCAGAAACAATCCTTGTGGGGCACACACCTTTCAATGCAGCCAACGGTATTTTGTACAACCTTGAGACTGTAAAGTCTGCTCAATGTCCAATACTCCAGTAGTGCTGCCCATTGGTGGTAAAAATTGCATGTCAACCCCCACTACCTAAGAACAGAAGAAGAGCCCTGCTGGATCAGGCCAAGGGCCCATCTAGTCCAGCCTCCTGTATCTCACAGCAGCCCCCACCAGACACCTGTCTCCTAATACCCCCTCCCCTGCATCTGGCATTTGGAGGTCCCTTCCTTTTAAGCTTGGAGATAATAAATCCTCTTCATGGCTTGTCACCTGCGAAGGATTTTTCCTCCAGAAATCTGTAGAATCCCCATTTAAAGGCATCTAGGCCAGATGCCATCACCACATCCTGTGGCAAGGAGTCCCACAGATTAACAAAAACACTTTTGTTTGTTTTCACTCTCCCGACACTCCATTGGAGTGGATGTCACATGGGTTCTGGTATTGTGTGTGAGAGAAAAGAGCTTTCCTCTATCCACTTTATCCATCCCCTGCATAATTTTATACATCTCAATCTGCCCCCCCCGGTGCCTTTCCTCTAGACTAAAAAGCCCCAAATTCTGTAGTCTTTCCTCATAAAGGAGGTGCACCAGCCAGTCATCATTTTAGTCACTCTCTTCTGCACGTTTTCCAGTTCCACTATTATCTTTTTTGAGGTGTGGCCACCAGAACTGTAAGGTGTGGCCTTACCAGCATTTTGTACAATGGATTATAATGTTGGCTTTTTTATTTTCAGTCTCTTTGTAATGATTGTAAGGTAAAAGTTCCCCTTGACACCAAGCCACAGAGCCAGTGTTTTTCCATAGACAGTTTCCGTGGTCACATGGCCAGCGCGACTAGACATGGAATGCCGTTACCTTCCCACCGTGGTGGTACTTATTTATCTACTTGCATTTTTACATGCTTTCAAACTGCTAGGTTGGCAGGAGCTGGGACAAGCGACAGGAGCTCACTCCATTGCGTGGATTTGATCTTACGACTGCAGGTCTTCTGACCTTGCAGCACAGAGGCTTCTGCGGTTTAACCCACAGCAGCACCACATCCCTCTTTTTAATGATACCTAACATGGAATTGGCCTTCTTCACTGCCATCGGACATTGGGTTGACACTTTCATCAATCTGTCCACCAGCACGCCAAGATCTCTTTCCTGATCCATCACGGACAGCTCAGAACCCATCAGCTGATCAATAACGTTTTTTACATTTTCTTATATTGAAACGGAGTGAGTGTGGCCTGGGTGGTGGACTAGGGCTGGAGACATGGGTTCACCCATAGCCATTGGGCTAGTCATTCTCAGCCTGCTCTACCTCCTGGGGTCTTGTGAGGAAAAAGTGAGTAGGGCAGGTGTGGTTTAAGTTCATTTATAGGAAGGGGAGCGCATTGAAATAATGAATAAATTAACTCTTGATAAATCGTAGGCTTCATTCTCCATTATGAATTATAGGGAGTCCCAGGAATGTATGGCCACTGAATTTTATTGCTACCTATGTACAGTATGCCTAAAATTGCAATCTGAAAACTTCAGGGGGCTAAGTTCGATTGATTAAAAGTTGCCCTCTCTCATTCTCTCTCTCACTCTTTCTTCATAGTTGGAAGCTACGGGAAGGTTAATCGCCGGGGAAGCTCCTTTCCACCTCGTCCAGCCCTCTTGGTGCGCTCCTGCCTTCCTGCACGGACGAAACAAATGGCAAAAGAGGAGTCCCCTTTCCATCCTTTTTCTCTTCGTCCTCCTTTTAATCCTCCTCCTTTCCCCCCCTTCCCTTAATGGTTCTTGTGCGGCAACTGGAGGGAGAAGAGGGGTTGCCCCGGAGCCAGAAGCAGGAGGTGGGGTGCACGCGCGCGAGCGCGCTCTGGAAGAGAGAGAGAGAGAGCCGCTTCTTTCCCTTCTGGGTTCAGGCTGCTCCTGGCTTCATGCATGAGGCGACCACCAGACAGAGCAGCCTAGGTGTGTACTTGGAGGGGCCCAGGTGCCTACTTGGACACTAGACCTTGTTTGCGCAACCCTCAGCGCAGCTCCGCGCCGCCAAAGTGTCTAGACTGGCACATGATGGGAGGGAGCCAATGACTCCGGCGCTCTCCGAGGGGGCCCTGCGTGTGCGTGTGTGCGTGTGTGCGTGTGTTTTAGAAGAACAAAAAAAGAGAGCGAGCGAGAGGCAAGAAAGGGGAAAAGGGGAGCGAGGGCGATCCGGTGCCTGCCGCCGCCGCCGCCGCCGCGCCTCTCTCGCTGCAGATCTCG